CAGGATGGTCCCTCCACAAACCAGGAAACACTTTCTCACTGTGAGGGTGGCCAAACACTGGCAGAGGTTGCCCAGAGAGACTGTGGAGATCTCCTTGGAGATACTCAAAACCTGTCTGGACATGGTCCTGGGCAACTGCTCTAGCTGGCTCTGCTTGAGCAGGAGGGCTGGAGCAGATACCTTTGGATGGCCCTTCCCACCTCAGCCATTCTGTAATTCAAAGTCCACTTAAGATCTGTGTCTACTGCATGTGTTTAGAAAATAACATTTTTAAAGAAAGACACATTTCTTTTTAATTAAAGTATTAAGGCTACAAACAAATTAGCAAATGGTGCCCACATCTGTCCTCGCTGTTCCCAGAAGGATTTGGGTAAGAGCAACCAAAGGTCTGTTTTGCAGCAGGTAGGAAATGGGTCTGCAGTGTGTGGTTTTCTAGGGCCACGTGCTTTCCAGGAGACCACACTGAGCACATAGGATGTTTTCAATTAGATTTTAGAAGGCTTTGTTTCTCTATGTATGTGACAATAGTAACAACAGTAACGAGGAACTCAAGGAAGAAGCAGATTTTTCTCTTCAAAAATGCATGTGAAGTTGGGCAGCAAATGTTTCCTCCTCTCAGAGGGAAAAAAAAATACCACCAAGTGGTGCCTAGTTTGACAGCAATGCAAAGTTCTGGAATTGGAGGTTAACTCTGTGTGGTCACATGTGGCTTTTCACTGCATTTGCCCACTCTGGGGGATCTTCCCATGTGGCCAGTCTTGGAATTGTTTTTTTGCTGCAGAAGGACCTTGTGCTGCTAAGAACAGAAAGAGGTTGAGTTCAAAGGCATTGAAATTGGTGCCTTGGGGGGACATTGAACTCAAACACAGTGAAAACAAGAGAGCACGCTCTGCTGGCAAAGAGATGCCAGGAGAGAATGTTAAATCATACCAAAAAAAGCCACTGGTATAGAAATTAATCTTGACCAGACCTGTCCAAAGCCAAGGCAGCCCCTGTCCCAGCCCTGCTAGCTGACCAGCAGCCCTGGTCAGCAGCCAGGAGTGTAGAGTTGTTCTACTGAGGGGGTGGTAGGTTGAGCCTGTGAAGATCTGACTTGAATTTCTTGTTCCTTGGTTTAATTGCCCACGAGTATTTATCTACCTCAAGTCAGTGCTGTGAAGAATGCATGAAATGTGTGAGCACTCTGATGGGGCAGAGACATGTCCCTACTGAGAGGGTGCAGGAGAGGCACCAGGCCTTACACAGACAGAGGGTTTGCCTCTCTCCAGGTACTTGTTCCCCAGACATTCAATAATCTGCATTCATGAAATGCTTTATCACAGCCTTCCTGACACCATTTTTCCATCCATATTCACTGAATTCAACACCTTTACAGATACTAACCAAATGCAAACATTTTGTCACAGGTCAGGGCTTCCCTCAGATGTGGAAGACCCATCAGGAACACCTCCACTTTGTTCTGTCCCAAGAGAATTCTGTGGGGCTGCCAGCTCCAAGTAATCAACAAAGTCTCAGGGAAAAAACATGAGTTAGACCTGATTCAGGGGTGGTTTAGTTTTCCAAAGGCTGAACATTGCTTCTGACTCTCCTCCTGGTGAGTCCACCACACTGACCAGTAGCCCATGGGCTTTGTTGTCTTTCAGAATAGAGAGATTTTTACATTAAAAAAAAATCTTACTGGCTTTTGTCTGGGTCAGTGTTTTCTAGGAATACTGCTCAGCAAAATTTGACCCCCTTGTCCACTCATGTTGTGACACTGCCCAGTTCTGTTCCATTAGGTAAATAAAGTGTCCCCAACATAACTGAATGAATTGTGCTAGTTTAACTCAGCTCAGTGAGTTCTTACCAGCTTCTGGCTATTGCTTTTCCTTCTCTGTGTATGTATGTGTTTGTAACAAGGAATTTGGGTGATTGAGTTTTTCCTGGACCCATTCACCTGTCTCTCATTGTCTACATCAGTGCTCTCAGGAGGACTGCAGGAATACTGAGTTATCAAGTCATCTCATTTGCCTTTCAAAATGATCTCCTGTCATCAGTCACCGTGAGCCTGGTGTCATGAGAAGGGGCACTTCAGACTGTGAGAGCAACAGAGAGGGGATGGAAGGACTGTGGACAGGGATTCAACTGGTTTACAGCTGCCCTCCTCCCCTGGAGTCAGTGACCACCAGGCTCTTCTCTGTAAGGAACTCCACGTTCACATCACTCACTGAGTCCATGAAAACTAGTACTGCTCCTGCTGCCTGGCTTTAGAAATGCTCTCTCCTTCCAAAAATACAATTAGGGACTGAACTGAAAATTCAAATCTCTGGCCCAGGGCTGCGTCCCACCAAACAAATAGTTTTTACACCGTTGAGTTTTCCAGTGCTGCCTGAAGTCTGCCTCACAAGCAGCTGGTACTGCAGTTCACTCCAGAGAGAGAGAGACATCTGGGAACACTCTGCTGTTCAAAGGCAGATGACAAACAATTCTCTACACCTTTCATCAACAGATTGTTTTATTCTGGTCTTCTTTTGTTTTTTTACAAAGAATAAACATGGTCCTGCAAGGAAACTGAGAAGAAGAAATGCAGTTTACAAAATCATCCAGTATCTGTTACATCGACCTAAAATCTGCACCCCAGAAACATTTCAGTGGCCCTGCTGCACTGCTGAGGGGCTGGGTCCTTCTGCTGGGACACAGGGAACTGACTCAATGTGGGGTCTGTGGGCTCCTCCTCCTGCAAAACCCCCACGAGCAAAAACCTGGTGACCAGGTGACTTCCCAAAAATGAAGGAAAAAAAATGCGGGAGCCTCCAGGATGTGGATAATGTGAATGGGTCGTCAGGACCACAGCACCAAAGTGAGCCAGGCTGGGTGTGTTTCCAGGGGCTGGCCTGGGTTTTAGTCCTTTTTAAATCACAAGTGCTCTTAAGCCCTAATATCCAGCTCTTTTACACTGTGACCAAACTTTGAATAAAGCAGTTTTCACACCTTTGGCTTCATAAAAAGAAGAAATACAGGCTGGTCAAATCTATCCGTATGGGGACTGAAATATTTGTTAAATAGGGAACTTTTGGTTACTTTTATGAACTATTTAAAGACCAGTCACTAAACTTTTCTTCTCTAATGCAGAGCTGAGAAGCAACTGAACTTACAGCCAAGTAGGCAAATGTTTTTATTAAGCCTTGAAGCTACTGGATTGAGAAAGGTGCTTTGTGCACTTCCAGCCCTGCCCTTGTTCTCAGTGACTGCATTTAACATTTTGCACCATGTGAAGTGTTAACACCAGACTCCTAGGAAATAAACCTCTGCCCAAGAATCATAGAACCATTCTCTCACTGCAGTGTGAGGAGCAGTTAAAAGGTTTCTAAAATGCAGCAATAGTTTGAATGCTGCTCCAGATTCCTCAGGAAGAGCTGAGACAGTTTGACTCATCTCAGCCCAGCTTATCATGGGGAAACTTGTTCCAGGGCCTCCCTGTCCAAGAGACTGGCAGTAGGCTGAAAAGAGAAGTTTGTTTCTCAACTAATAATGGGATGTCTTTGAATAGTGGGTCAATGCCATCAGCCAGCAGGACATCTTTTGGGAAACTAGGTTATGTCAAGTAGACACAAGGAGTTCTCTGCTCAGCAGCATGGCCTTTAGCTACCAGTCACTCTAGGGAGCCAAGGGTTATATTTCTCTTACCACTTGTTCCTTGGGAGAAGAGACCAGCACCCACCTCTCTGCAGCCTCCTTCCAGAACCTGCCTGGGTTCTGAGTACAGCTGGTTACCCAGCACACCCAGTTCAGGAGAACATGGGTTATTACCACTGGTGGTATCCATAGTCTTGGCCTTGCAGTGAGAACCTGCCTGGGTTCTGAGTACAGCTGGTTACCCAGCACACCCAGTTCAGGAGAACATGGGTTACCACTGGTGTTATCCATAGTCTTGCAGTGAAGCTGGAGTATGTACAACAAAATGAATCCCACCTGGATGCCTTAGTCTGAGCTGTGTTCACCCTCAGTGGAAAGGTGTAGGAATGTAGGTGTTGTTTCTTAAACTGGAGCCAGGAATTCATGGTGCAAAAGCCATTTTTTCTGTCTGCTGATTTACAGTGGGAGTTCCAACAAGTGATTGAAATATCCACAGATCAGGTAAAACAAATCCTTCCTCTGTGACTGGAAATAAACAATTCCAGGCAAAATCCACCCCTCTGACCCTGGGATCTCTCACAGAAGTGACAGGCACACACAGCTCAGCACGGTGCCTCCTTCCATGCCTGCAACCACGCAGCCATTTCCCCACCTCATCCAGCCCTGTCTGGCTGTGGTGTGTGTTGAAACCTCCAACTTCATGGCACCTTGACACCAACGGGATGACATTCAGTCCTGGCTCCACAAAGGAATGTGGAAGGCCTCTGGCAGTGGCTGGTTAGACCTGAGGAAGGAGATCCCTTCTGCACGCCAGCACTGAGCTGCAGCAGCTGAGGGTCGTGAGGAATCCTTCCACTTAAACCAAGCAGGGCAGAGTTTCTCTGTGCCCAGTCAGAGGTTTGAGCACAGTCACCCTCACGTGGTGATGGGAGCCACCAACCTGTCAAATATGGGGGTTAAACATCATTTAAAACATTTACTGCTTCTCTCTTAAGTCCTTCATGAGGGCTGCTGAAGGACACTCCCCTGCATGTCTCTAGCACTGAGTTCCTCAAATTATCTATATGGGGGTTAAACATCATTTAAAACATTTACTGCTTCTCTCTTAAGTCCTTCATGAGGGCTGCTTCCTTAAATTATCTTGGGTAACATCACAAAGCCTTGGGGTTTCTTGTAATGCCTCCTAAATCTTCTTCCAGCTGCAAGAACAGAGCTGTACTGTGCACTGAGGCTGGGAGACTCTTCCAGCAGGATGAAAGGGTCACAGGCTCCACTCTGCCCACAGTGAGCACCTGAACACATTTATTTTGAAGAGGCCTCTGGCCTCCCATGGTTAGTTCCTGTGCAGTTAGAAGCTTTGTGGTTATGCTGTGTCATCAGTGGCACTAAGTGCCTGAAGCAGTGGATTTAAACTTCTGGGAGAACTCTTCCAGCACTGCCATGAGCTTCTCCTCATCCTCTGGTGGACTGTGGGTGCTTGCCAGGGGTAGGTGTGTAGGGACTGGTTGCCTGTCTAGAAGACAAAAAAACCCCAAATCATCCTTATGGGCACGTTTAACAACCTCTGCCAGCACAAAGGAGACTTTTCTGCTAGGCTCTAAGCTGCCCAAACACACCTCATGGTCTTGAAGGCAGGGAATTTACCTTCTAGGAGTCTAAAGAATGCCAGTTAAGCTCATCTTCCCAACCAGCAATGAAACTACTGTAGTTTGTGTTCTGGAACTGGAGTGATTGTCCTTCAGCATGACATGACTTAGCTGGGGAGCCAGACCTCATCTGCAGCTAGGGCCAGTGGGGATGCCAAAGGAAGGCCTCAGTGTGGGGCTGCTCCTGCAGCTCCTGTAGATGGAGACCAATCCCTTTGGAAATAGGAGAGAGGGTTTTTTCTTGCTTCATGGGTAATGTTTCTAGTGCCACACAAATTCCCAAGCTGCAACTTTGTAGCCTGGCTTATTTTCCATTTTAAACTGCTTACTTTCAGCCTTTAAAAAGAATGGTCAGATCCTAAATGTGAAAGAACTTCAGCTGATTGCTCCATCACCACAAGTTATGTGCATCCAGCATAAAGATTTCTGACCAAACGTGCTTAATTTGATGCTTTCCTTATTTTCCAAATCTTTAATCTCATACTCCTCATTCTTTGTAAATATGGCTGTATCAGCATCCATCCTGAGGGATGTCTCTCTCCAGAAACATGGTCTCTAAATCCCTTATGTCCAAGCTCTCAGGTGTCTGTGAAGCCACCAGCACTGGTGCAGCACCACTAGTCTGTCTAGTTAAGCCCAACTTCTGCAGCAGCCAGCTGAGACTGCTTCCCACCCAACCACAGTGCCTCCAGCAGCCTCTGCTCAGGTTTGGGAACTCTGTGTGACAGCCAAGTTCAGCATCACTCAGAAGATGCTTCTACTCTCTGGAAGGCAGGACTCCATCAGTTGTTTTTGGTTTATTTTGGCAGTTGCAGAGAACTCTGGTTGCACAAGTCATGTTCTCACTTCCCATTTTTTTTTTTTCCTCAAGAAAAAAAACCCAACCCAACCCTTGCTGGCTCTGGTTTGCTCTCAAAGGGAACTGACTTCATCACTGTGTGGTAAGCACAGGACACAGGCACAGGACTTCTCCTGCAGCCTTCAGGGCAGTCATGCCAAGACCAAAGCTCTCTGAAGGGAACAGAGCCAAGGGGTGGTCCCTGTTCACCAGTGCTGGTGGTGGAAAGGCCAAAGGCAAGAGCCTGGTGGAATTATGAGCTGGAGAAAGAACAGCTGAGCAGAGACATTAGGACCCAAAGAATCACAGAATGGTTTAGGTTGGAAGGGACCCCAGAGATCATCTCATCCAACCCCCTGCCATTGGCAGGGGGAGCTCTCCACCTTACCCGGGTGCTCCAAGCCTCAACTAGACCACGTTGCTCAAGGACAATCCAGCCTGGCCTTGAACACCCCCAGGGAGGGGCATCCACAGCCTGTCTGGGCAATCTACCCCAGAGTCTCACCAGCCTCAGACTGAAGAGCTTCTCCCTAAGATCCAGTCTGAACCTACTCTCCTTCCATTTAAAACCATTTCCCCTTGTCCTGTCAATAGAAACTCTGTGACAAGTCCCTCTCCAGCCTTCCTGTAGGTTCCCTTCAGGTGCTGGAAGGCAGTTATAAGGTCCCCCCAGTCTTCTCTCCTCCAGGCTGAAGGTGGTAGGAGTACTAAAAAGGCAAAGCCTGGTTCTACAAGGAAGACTTGACCAGATGGGATGTGGGGTTTCTGCATGCACCACATGGCAACATGATAAAGGTCTGGTTAAAGATCTGTCAACCAAACCTTTGTGTCTGTCTGGGAGGGTACAAAGGGACAAAGACAACTGTGGGTAAGTCTGAACTTCCTGCATGCTCTGCCCGGAGATTCAGTGGATCAGGATTTGAATGCCACATCCAACAAAAGCACTGGGCTCCTGCAAGCAATTACCCTCAGCTCTGCCCTTCTTCTGGGCTCACCTGCAGCACCATTGAGACATCTGTGCTTCCAGCTGCTCCTGCCTGGCAGAAAAGAAAGGCCCTGCCCTATTTTTCCATTCCCTATGCCTACAGTGCCAAAAGTGCCACTGCCCTCAAGCCTCTGCCCAGCCTTAGAGAAAGGGGGAACTGGCAGTTGTAACTGGCATGGAACAGCAGGAAGAAGAGCCTGTCAAAGCCAAGTCAACCCCCAGTGCTCTGTGAGAAGGAGGCTCTTTCCCAGCACCACAAAAGATGCTGTTGGAGTGCTGTGATTCACCTTCCCCTGGCACAGCCCTGCCTGCAGCCATCCTCACTGAAAAAAACAGAACAAAACAACCCTCCCAAAGTAAATGCTCTGAAATCTCCAACAGCCACTTCAGAGGACAAAAGCAGGGACATAAAAACTTAACAGAGCCATTCTCTGGCTGCTTGAACCTGTAGTCTTGGAACAATTTTGAGAAATGCTTCATCCTTTGAACAACAGTTGCCTGGTGGAGCCTTTATCCCCTCCCAGCCCATCTGGGGATCCTGCAGCTCAGGCAGCTGGGGGATCCCCCCTGCTGACACGATGCCAGGCACTCCCACCTCACCTTGGAAGAACAAGCCACTGGGGAACTTGGCTGCCTCAGGTGACACTGCCAGCCACAGGACAGTGTCTGCCCCCTGGGCCTCCGTGCGCAGGGCACTCTGCATCCTGCGGTGGAAATCTGGCATGGAGGACCTCACAGCTGGAAAGAAGGAGAAGGAACAGTCAGCTGCCACGCCAGGCTGCTCTGGGGAGAAGAAACAGCAGCTCAAAACTGCCACTGTGAGTGTAGGAGGAAGAGAAGGCAGCTCAGTGTGTGAAGGAGAAGGAGTGTTGCCCCACAGCAAGGAGTGTGATGACGTGGGATGGGACAGTGCTTCAACTGCCCACACCACCCACCAGCTCTTTGTTGGGTCAAAGGACAGGGACAAAACCAGCAGGAGCTGAGAGCAGCATCAGCAAGAGGTTCCTCAGCCAATTCCATTCCAACCTGCAAAGGAGTAAGACATGGCAAACAGAAATGCCAAACCCCAGGAGTTCTAACAGGATGTTTAACTCTGATTTTCTCAGCAGTTTTAGGAGAGCAGTTGCATCACTGTGTTTAAAAACTGCATGGTGAACAGCATATAAACCATCTGCAGAATTCATGTTTAAACTCTGGGGTTCTTTAATTGTGTCCACGAGGTGATGACTGAAGGCCCATCCCCTGCAGCTGTTTATTTTGGGGGGTTGGAGAGTCCTTGAACTTTAAGCTGAGATGACTTTATGGTTGGAAATCCACAAAGGATGTGCAAAAATAAATGTATTTTAAAGAACTATGAGGCTATCCAGTTGGGAAGGGCAGTTTTCAAGCATGAAGTAGATGGGCTAAATGCTTCTGTCATCAGAAGCAAGTTTGGGAAGCTGCATTGCTAGGAAGGACCTGGAGGTGGGACTGCCAGTCTGCACCCCAGGCTGGGGTGTTTGGGGCTGGTCACCTACTGCAGAATTCAGTGTCCTGGGTAGCTGCTGCTGGCCCACAGGCTGGGACACAGCCACTGGAGAGGGGCTGCAGCTCAGACAGAGGGCTGGCTGCCCAAGCACTGCTGCTTCTCCACAGCTCCAGACCTTCAGAGGAAAAGTGTCTGCAGAACACTACGTGCTCCTTTTTCCTGTGTGCCCTCACGAACTCCCAGTGTCTCCACGCTGGTACTTACAGAGGCAGCAGCTCTGTGTGTTTAACAGTCCCACTACAAATGTAACTTCAGGGTTGGCTGAAAGCACTATGGCTCTGCTGTGCATTTGCAGGGGGCTGGAACCATTCCCTGCCTGTTTTTATTCTCTGGAAATACACAGGCAGCAGACAGTGTGCAGAACAGAGCCACCAAGGGGGCACTGAACTGCTTCAAGCACAGTTTGGAGCCAAGAAATCACTGCACCTGTTAGAGAAATCTACCAGAAAGTTGAATTTCTCTGTGCTTTTAAACTAATCCTGAAAAGAAAAATGTCATCAGAGCATCAGGCAGGTGTTACCTGGAGTGTCTGCCCAGCCAGGGTGCATTACAGAGAAATGGATGTTCCTGTGAGCTTTTGCCCATTGTTCTGTCAGGACAACTTGCTGTCTCTGTGACAAAGCAAAAAGAGATCAACATCAGGTTCCACAGCCTGCCCACCAAGTGAGTTCCCAGGGAAATAAACCACATCCAATGTGCTGTAAACACCAGGGCATTTATCTGAAGCAGAAATATCCCCTTGCTCATCCTGATTGGATTTATTGGCTAATTCTATCAGAGACCATCAAGGCCACTGCAATCCATCTCCTGGCCACGAGCTCATTCAGAGTCATTATGCTGCTGTCACTGACCTCATCCCCTTGCTGGGTAAGAACCCAGCAAGCAGAAAGGGTTTGCCAGCTGAAAACAGTTTTCCCCCTTGAGATTTAGATCAAACCAAATGAAAATCTAGCTCTCTGTGCAAGAGGGAGTGGCCTCTAAGTTCAGGCCATCGTGCTCCTGCAGGTTACTGCTCGTGGGTCTCTGCAGGGGCTGGATGCAATCATAGAGCAACAGTGAACAACAGGCTTTTGGCAAAGCAGATGGCACAAGCTGCCTGCCAAACCAGTGCTGGGCTGGGCTTCCAAACCCATGGACTGTACCTTGTTTTGGGCATACACCATAGTTCCATCAAACGTCCCACTTCCTGACTGCAGGTCGGATACGTTTAGTTTCTGAACTAGCATGCCCCCAGAAGAGACAGTTATCTGTAATTAAATGAATGAGAAGCAAATGAGAAACAAATGAATGAAAAACAAAACCAGGAACTCCCTGCAATCACACCCATGCACGGAACGTGGTCTTCAGGCTGTATTTGGAAGGCCCCAGGGAGCAGGAGTCCTCTGCACACTCTTTGCACTATGCTTGTGCTCATGTCTGGAGCCTACCTGGAGGTAAGGTGGAAGAAATACAACTGTTTTTTTGTTTTAGAAAGTGATTTTCACTCAAAGTGGTGTTGACTCCTTCAGGGAACTTCCCTTTGAAGAGCAGTCAGGAGAAAGAAAAGAGCAGAATAGCACTATTTGTGGTTTAGATGTTTAGCAGCTACAGAAAGTAATTAGAAAACAAGAGATTGTACAAAACTTGGGAAATCTCACTTAAAAAAAAAAACCCTGTACCTGCTGTCCTAGTTTACACCAAGATATGTAAGGTTTTTTTTTAAGAAAAAAAACCTCTCCTGTTATAGGAACTTTGTACTCTGCTGCAGGAGAGAACTCACTCTAGGGAAATTAAAAGGGGAACTTTCCAGAGGAAGTATTTTACTCTGGTTTCCAATGAGTGGCTGAGAGTAGCAGGCAGGAGCTTTGCCTCAGACAAGGAGGCTGTTGTTAGCAAAATCCAAGAGAATTCTAGAGATGCTTACAGCATAACAACTAATCCTGCACTGCTAGCAGAGTCCAAAGAAATGCTGTCCCAAACCAGGAGGTAAGAATAACAAACCACCACCCTTCAACAGCCTGACACTCACCACTCTGGCATCAGCTTCTTTCTCCAGGAGGGGCAGCAGGGCAGTGGTCAGAATGTAGGTACCTGCAAGAGAGACAAGCACCAACATGAGCTTTTCTATCTAAAGATTCTTCTTCTCTCCCCACCCACTATAACAACACGAAACCCAAAGTCTCTTTATTTCTGAATCTGGCCCTGAATGAGGTTTTCCTGCCACCTTATTTGCAATATGCACCAACATCAGCTTTTCTATCTAAAGATTATTCTTCTCTCCCCACCCACTATAACAACACGAAATCCAAAGTCTCTTTATTTCTGAATATGGCCCTGAATTTAACAATGAGGTTTTTCTGCCACTCTACTTGCAATATGCCAGCTCAGCTTGCAGTGTTCTGCACTGCTCTTGCAGTGTTCTGTGCCAGGTCATGGCAAGAGGAGGAAGCTGCCTCCCACTTGGCCATTTTCACCTTCTCACTGTGAAATCAGAGTAAACTGACACTTCTGATTTGTGTTGAAGACACAAACCACCTCTTCAATCCCCTGCATGGCTGTTACAGGCAACAAGGAATCCTTGGGGGGAAAGATATTGATGTTGCATGCCCAAGGCTGAGCTAAGATTACTTGGGGAAACTTAACTCTGTCCTTCCCCACTTTAATAGTGTTCATTTGGTGTAGATTTGTACACACCACACCAAAATATTCCATTACAGCTGTTACCATGACCAACAAAGCTTGTTATTCACAACACTGTTCAACTGCTGGTGTATTTGATTCAGACACACTAGGGATGTGTCACCTGCTCAGGTGCAACACAGTGATTTGTGCTACATTCTTTCCCTTTAAACTGTGTTTAAAAATCCTGTTTAATTCAAAATTAATCTAGACCCACTTCATTTCTTTCTGTGCTGAGGACACTTCCCTTGCATCTCTTCACAAATGGCTCCAGTTCAACAATTTTATGTCAGTGATACAAGTGTTTTTTCCCTGAGCTACCAAGGCCATGTTTTTCACTACACATGAAGAATTCAGCAGCTGTCTCTGTAACCCCTCTGCCACAGAGGCACTGAGATCACCCAGTTAAAACACAGCCTACCTATAAATATGCTGCCAAAATCAGACTGTTTTATATGCTTGGT